TGGATTGTATTTTTATTGGGTATGCACAAAATAGTAGTGCTTACCGGTTTTTAGTGTACGATTCGAATAATCCGGATGTACATAAAAACACAATAATCGAGTCAAGGAATGCATCATTCTTTGAAGATGTATTTCCATGCAAGTCCAACGAAGGACCTAGCACGTCAAAACGAACATTTGACGTAGCTATGGAAAATACTAGCGAGGGATCCGGTGAAGAAGCCGAACCCCGACGTAGCAAACGTGCTAGAGTTGAAAAATCCTTCGGACCGGATTTTCTCACATACTCGGTAGAATTCGATTCGAATATTCTAACTTGTATGGTAGAAAATGAACCGGATTTTCTAACATGTTTGGTAGAAAATGAACCGCGGACTTATACGGAAGCCGTAACGTCTACCGAAGGTCCAATGTGGAAAGAAGCCATCAAAAGTGAGGTGGATTCTATCCTAAAAAATCACACATGGGAATTGGTTGATCTCCCTCCGGGATGTAAACCTTTGGGATCCAAGTGGATTTTTAAACGTAAAATGAAACCAGACGGTTCCATTGATAAGTATAAGGCTAGACTTGTAATCAAAGGATACAAGCAACGTGAAGGCCATGACTACTTTGACACGTATTCTCCGGTAACGAGAATAAATTCCATTAGGATGATACTAGCGATTGCCGCTTTGCGGAATTTGGAAGTTCATCAAATGGACGTAAAAACCGCTTTTCTAAATGGCGATATAGACGAAGAAATCTATATGGAACAACCCGAGGGTTTTCGTGTTCCAGGCCAAGAAAGGAAAGTTTGTAAATTAATTAAATCATTGTACGGATTGAAACAAGCCCCCAAACAGTGGCACGAAAAGTTCGATCATGCAATGTTAATTAATGGGTTTAAAATAAACGAAAGTGACAAATGCGTCTATGTGAAAAGCACGGTAGATGGCTATGTCATTTTATGTTTATACGTGGATGATATACTCATCGTGGGTAGTAATAATCTAATGATTAATTCTACCAAATGCATGTTAAATTCTAAATTTGACATGAAGGATATGGGGCTGGCCGATTTAATCCTTGGGATTAAAATAATTAGAGGACCTGAGGGTCTGACGCTAAGCCAATCCCATTACATTGATAAAATCCTTACTAAATTTAATAAGGATGATTATCAAGAGGCAAGGACGCCATTAGATAAAAACGTACACCTGACCAAAAATCGTGGAGAGTGTATTTCTCAAGTAGAATACGCTAGGATTATTGGCAGTTTAATGTATCTAATGAGTTGTACCAGGCCTGATATTGCCTTTGTGGTTAGTAAGCTTAGTAGATATACTAGCAACCCCGGTGATGAACACTGGAAGGCAATAGTAAGGGTTTTGAGGTATTTACGGAAAACCCAAAACCTTGGACTGCACTACGGTAGATATCCAGCTGTACTTGAAGGGTATAGCGACGCTAGTTGGATATCTGACATTAAGGACTCAAAGTCCACAAGTGGATATGTTTTCACTTTGGCAGGTGCAGCCGTGTCATGGAAATCCTCGAAACAAACGTTAATAGCTAGATCCACGATGGAATCTGAGCTAATAGCCTTGGATAAGTGCACTGAAGAGGCTGAATGGCTACGCCATTTTCTCGAGGATATTCCAAGTTGGGAGAAGCCTGTCCCTCCAATATGCATACATTGCGATTGTCAAGCGGCAATTGGAAGGGCACAGAGCAATCTCTATAATGGTAAGTCTAGACACGTCCGTCGTAGACATAATACCATTAAACAACTTCTCACAACGGGTGTTATCACTGTTGACTACGTAAAGTCAAAGGATAACATAGCGGATCCGCTAACCAAGGCATTGGATAGAGAATTGTTGGAGAAGTTGACACGAGGAATGGGATTAAAGCCCGTGAATTGAAAAAGTTCTATAGTGGATACCCAACCTAGTTGGTCCTAGGTTCAAATGGGACAACTAAATTATAGAGCGAAGGATGGTCACTGTGGGGGGTCCCGGACTCCTACCCACTCCTCGTTGAAACAGTGACTCCCGCACGAGGTTAGCAAAAACGTTTGCTTTAATGATTCTAAAATGTTGATCTACTCGATAACATTGGAAGAGTATGCGGGATACTCGTGAAAGAATCACCTATGTGAGAGAGAAGAGGGCCGCTTCAAAGGAGAACTGTAAAGGCTCAGTTCTTTAGAAACTCTTGCAGAACCAGGACGGTGACCCATGGCCAAAACGGGCACACCCATGAGAACGGAACAAAGTTGGAAGGTTCTTGTGTAAAGATAAGTCAATGTTTACATGACGGCAGTATAGTTCAAAGACATCGAGTCTACTAGACAGCCAGTAAATAAACGAGTCTTTACAGCGGAAGGTTCAAAGGATTAAACCTACCTCTCTGTATACAAGGATCATCCGGTGAACACAACGTGTCCTCCTATCTTCGTGTCTTTTTAAGTCTCGAAAATCAATTTTCATTCATGTGGGGGATTGTTGGAAAAAGTGTGTTAAATTGCATTAAATGGTCATTTTGGGGAAATTTTTTTGAGCGGGGTCCACTTCCGATTTGGGTCGGGTCAAAGTGGTTTCGGATTGTCCTTGCTTAGGGCTACAATTCGATATATGGTACGCTCAAAACGGATAACGGGTGAATGAGAAATCGCTTTTCGAAGTTTACCCGTTGGAATGGAGAAAACTAGGAAAAGGTGAGTTTTTGGTATGGTTTTTTCCCACACCGAAAATCACTAGGGATTTGCAACCCTTTATAAGGGAAAACCCCCCCTAAGGAGTTAAGATTCCTAAAGGGAAAGGCTCTCTCACGCGCGCAGGGGGGGGGTGCGGATCAAATCCCGAAACCGAAGAACAAAAAGCGCGACTTGCGTGTGCGGGCAACCTGCACACACGAATGCCGTCCGAAAATCCCATCTTCTAAAGATAACGTCAATTTTTGTTCTTCCGGTACGTTCCTATTTATTTTTGCTCCATGCTAGACTACAACGTTCATGAACGTTGCAGCATAAATTCCCAACGTTCATGGCCCTTAATGCAAACGTTTTGGACTGGTGGCATGTGTAGAATCAATGCCAGCATGCTGCCTTGAAGTCCCAACGTTCATATGAACGTTTTGGACTGTTTTGGCTGGAATCAATGTCCCAAACGTTGGGCATTGATGTCCAACGTTCATGTGCCTTAAACAGTCATTAACACATGCAAATCCACCCCTATAAAAGGCTGGTTGATCCTTTGCAAAAGACACACAAGTCACAAACGTGCTGCACTTCATTTTACCTCACAAAACTCTCCCAGTCTTCTCTTAAAAATTCCTATTGTGTTCTTGCTTCGTTCACGTTCGTTGGGACTTTCGTTTGAGTGCTCAAACGTTTGTTCGTAGTCATCGTATCCTGGGAAACGATTCTTGCAACGCTCCTAGCACCCCGGGAGGCAACGAATACGTTTTAAGGAAATCGTGCGTAGCACGAGCTTTGGCTTATTCTGCTTCGTCTCATTTCTTGTTTTTCGTTTTGTCATTTTATTTAATTAATTTTTATTAATTAATTTTCTTCGTTTTTCGAAACACACCCAACAATAATAACCTGCAGCCCATAAGCCCATTTCTTTTCGACTAGAAACTGTTGTCTTTCATCAATTGGTTGATAACCAATAGTCCCATCAAAGTGTTGCCCAGAAGGTAATCCTACTAAATCATTTGAGTTCGCATGGTTTGAACCATATTCCCCCAGAAACACCTAGTAAAAACACATTTTAAATGTTCATTTTCAATATATTAACTAATTTGAGTCATATTTACATTAATATGTAGGCTCTACATCACATGTCTAATAAGGGTGGATCTAAAGAAAAGGGTGAGAGAGGAAGATGTCAACTTTTTCTAACAATTGGCCCCAACTCTTATATATTATAATCATTGCATAGCTAATTACTATTGTGTTAGAAGTGAAAAGGGACCTAATGTCTAATGATGTTAAAGTAAGGGGGTGTTTGGATCTGATTCTCAAAACTGATTCTGCTCCTTCAGGGAGCAGAAGCGGAAGCTGGGGTGTTCGGGTGAAATTCCAGAAGCACTTCCGGAGCTCTAATTTACTCTCAGAATCAGTTTTTTTAGAAGCTGGGAGGTACCAGCTTCTGAAAACTAATTCTGATTCTGCTTCTGCTTTTAAAAAAGAAGCAGAATCAGTTCCAAACACCCCTTAAGTAGGAATAAGAAACATTTCACCGTCATTTTCGCCATGCCTCATTTGAATCATTTGATCCCATATAATATGATCTCCAAATTTAGTCATCAAAAGTCGGGTACCATTTTACAATTCATATGAAATATCTATATTACTTGTAAGCATCAAAAGCACCTTCACTATTAACTTTAGCTCATGACTTGACAAGAAATGTAGGAGTATGTATCTTATGTAAGTGGCCACTCTTTGAACTAAATGAAGAAGTTGAGTCCAAGTTTAGCTAAAGGGTGAGGAGTATGTATCTCATAAACTTTGATTCAAAAGCAATAATTTAGGAATTTATTTGTTTTGGCGGAATTTGGGACACAATTTTAAGGTATTAGCTTTACCTTTACTCATTTCTAATAGTATATTTGTCCGGTTGTCCCTACTTCTAGAGTTTTTTTTGTTTACTAGTGCAATATTTTAATGATCCGTTTTGTATATTTTAATGATTCATTTATATGATGAGGGGCATATCCATGTGGAGTCAGTGCGGAAAATTGCAACCAGAACCCCCCCCCCCCCCCCCCAACCACACCCCTACATATATAACATAAAATTATATAGGATGTTGATGTTGCTCAAAATATGAGTTAAACATAGGAAAATTCTAAAATAGGATTAAGAGTGCTTCCCTATAAATCCTAATTATAAAAGAATAAAAGGATAAAAAGTTCACTGAATTTTGTATTGTTTAACTTCTATTTAGGTAATTTTCTCAAATTTCCTGAATACACTACTGGTCCACGATCCCAGCCCGCCCGCCCCTGTCTAAACCACATATTCCAGGGAGATACAATGCCATAATGTACAATGTACAATGCACAATGTTACCATAATGTACACTACACATTCATGCAAGCAATATTGCCATATTGCCATAATGTCCAATGCACAATATTACCAGCATGTACACTGCACATTCATGCAAGCAATATTGTCATACTACACATTCATTAAGGGGTAGCACTTTGAACGAAACAAGCTCCTGCTGCTTTAGAGAACTTAAGCTGCGAGACGAAAGCAGCACAAAAATCCAAAAAGATGGGATCTGGTCCCTGCACCTTTTGCAGATCCAAGAGGAATTTGCCCTTAGTTTTGTACAGCTGTTAAGGACAAAAATATTATCGACACTATTAATATCATATTTTTATGTAGACTAAATGAAACGAAGTGATGCGGCTACTATATACAGTAATTGATTCTATTTCACTTGCCTACTAAAAACACATTTTAGATGTTCATTTTCAATATATTAACTAATTTGAGTCATATTTAGTTATTTACATTACCACGCAGGCTCTTACATCACACATCTAACCAGGGAGAATCTAAGTTAGGTGGGCTTCAAGGCACTTTTCTCTCTTAATTTTTTAGTATAAATTTTTGGGAGGTTCTATATACAGCCTCGGTTTTACTAACTGCAGCCCACAAATTAAACATAAATTAATAAAATTATATTAAATATCTAATTTGCCCTCATAGTAATACTACCTACATTAGTTTTTATAATGTGATAAATCCTTCCTTCATCTATCCTACGAGTCACAGCACGCAGGCACAGAACAGACTTTTTTGCACATCTCCGGCGCTATAGATGATAGATCCAGTGAAGAAATTCTGAGATTCTGAGAAGCATATAAACCTCTGACAACAACACGGGATAGAAAGTGAGTGTTCCATTGAACTTATTCGTGTAGGAGATAGGATTACAAGATTCCTAAACTCCCCCCAACTCCGGCCGGACCACGTCGGTAAATTCATTCTGTAGGAGTTGCAAGCATATAAGTCGAAGATTTCTTGAATTTCTTCGAATCAAAGATTTCTTCAAGGATTCTTAGTCTGGACATTTCCACCGCACCTTCATTTCTTCACCAGTAGCTTCAACACAATGAGTATCGTTAACCTCTGTAATGTGACTGTGTTGGACAATCCGACACCCTTTTTAACCCCTTCACAGTTTGAAATCTCCTACGAGTGCGTAACTCATCTCAAAAACGATTTTGAATGGTAACTTATTGATGTTGGCCGGATCGCCTGATGATGAAATTGAATAATTTATGACCAACTTCCTTAAAGTGTTCTTGGAGACTTCATAAATAACTCCGGCTGAGATATCCAAAATGACCAATTTCATGAGGTTTCATATCTTTTTTGCGATATTCCCTTCAAGACTTCAAATTGATCTGCAAGAAACTTCTCGCAAGATGACTTTGACGTGCCCTGTCTTGATATATCAGACTAGGGGTAAACTAGGTAGTTTAATTCCGCGTGGCTGTGATTAGAAAAAAAGAGGTTGTGTTTAGAATTCCCCTAAATTTTTTCATTTTTCATATTTAGCCCACCCACTAATGTTTAAGGCTTTAAGCCTAGTATAATTATTTTTTGGCCCAACGACTCAAGATACTAACTAGTACTTCACCATTGGAGAAAATGAGCATTCTAATGCAAATAAATGCCGTAAAGTAAGGGTTTGAAGAAGGGTTAACAGAGATTCTCTTTTGTCATTTTGAACCCATAACCTCTAAGTCACAATGTCACGTAACACCATAATTGGTAAGCCAAGACTCCCCCTTCTCACCACTGAGATAAGAATTATAAAAAAACTTCCCAAAATAAGATTCTTGTTTGGTCAAGATGCAACTCCTGAAAAAAGTTATGGAATTTTACATATCTATTAGAATTCATATTTTTTTGTTTAGCTATATCTCTTAACTTGTTTGCCGCCTCTGTTTGGAAAACTAATATGAAGGCTTAACTTTGTTTGATGAAATAGGACTGTGTAGGGGCAAGAGAATTTGTGAAACGAGACACTTTTCATTGAAGGGAGGAATACCAATTACAAGCAGCTAGCAATGAAAATAAAGGAGCTTCAGGATAACGACACAGGCATGATATATAACCAGAGGCTTGTTACCTGAACTTCAAACTTGACATCATTCACTCCTTCGTGATAGTGACCGGGAAGGTTGGGAGTCCACAAGCATTTTATATTGTAACGCCCTATTTTCTTCCAACACACGTTCAGCACATGTAGGACTTGAAGGACTTCCGGGATTATTTGACCCGGACGAGCTTGGGACTATTAAAATTGTCAAAAAGAAATCATTATGTTTTCTCAATAACATCTATTAAAATAAACTCATACACCGAGTATATTACGACATGTAAAACTAAATAAAAACTTTCTTGGTCATATAGCTGGAAAGGCAGGACGCGGAGCAGCCAAATCAAACTGTTGCTTTACATACATATGATGAGAAAACCTAAAGGTTCCATTTAGATCTCGGGAAATATTATGGCAAGAACTACAAAGGAAAAATATAAAGGAAGATAAAAAGGAAATAATAGGATGGTGAAATAAGAGATAGGCTGGCACTCAATGAACTTACTTTATATATTTGTTGATTATTTATTTAATCTATAGAGACTAAAATCTAAATATGCTATTTAAAAAAAATGTTATTTTCCAAGGTAGAACTATAAGAAAATAGTTTTCCTTAGCATTTTTTACATTTCCCTATCATTTTCTGTGAGCCAGGCATACCCCGGCATTTAAATAAAAAGAATACATCGGGGTACTAACCTGCAGCCCATAAGCCCATTTCCTTTCGACTAGAAATTGATGTCTTTCATCAACTGGTTGACAACTAGCAAAGTGTTGCCAAGAAGGTAATCCAAGAAAATCACTTGAGTTCGTATGGTTCGAACCATAATCCTGCAGAAAAGCACACACAAAACTATCAATATTGGAATTTGCAAGAAAGCAAAAATGGCAACAAGATTATGAACAAATGTATGCTACAGCCATTGAATTGGGCTTCAGAATAGAGAAGCCCGGGCTGAATACAGAACTATTGTATTGTGATGGAGTCTACGACACCGATCTCTAAAGCCCCCAAACACATAAGATTCTGATAGGTATCGATCCTAACAGTAGTATATGCACTCAAGGAATTCTGAGAAATCCTCAGATATTCTTAGGGAATTACAAAGCAACAGAAGAACGTAATAGTAGAAGTATAGAGGCAAGTTCGAGAGTGCATATCTCTCCCAAGAGTCCCAGATCTGTTCCCAAATTTCTGCCTAACCCCCTTCTTTCCCCACTTCACACTCTTATAATAATGCTATTCTCAAGGGCTGTCCCAAAATCATAACATAAATGGCCCAACACCCTTATTTGTACACTATTACATTATTTATTATAAATTCTATTATTCTTATTATTATAGGCTGTCCATGTCCCTATCAGATTCTTCTTATACATATTAATACATTTTTCCAAAAAGAGTCTTGTTGCACCAAGGACTTTAAGATTTAGTTTACATTACCTATCACGAAAATCAGCTCCATTTGTTCAAAAAGGACTCTTTAGGACAATAAGTTTTCAAGTAAAACTAATTTGTTGGTGACAAAAAAAAAACTTTTCAATTATGAATCTTTCTCGGGAACAGATCACAGATGGAACATGCAATAGCAATGCACACACCCTTCTCTCCCTCTAAAACACAAAGAAACAAACATAAAAGATTCATCATATATAGAATTATGTATAGCACAGCCAGCACACCATCGATTCCTGAAATTCAGCACCCAGATATCCACTGGAAGCACGAAATCGGTTATCAAGTAGCAGGTAATAAGCAACAGTTCCCTGAGATTGGCAGGCAAAAACATATTGTCAAATTTGTGGGTACAGAACAAATAAGCTATATATCAATAAATGAATGTCACATTGTCACCTCATTTGGAACTCTGTTGAGAAGAGACTCAATGAGATTGTTTCTTTCAAATCCCATGTTAATCACTTCTTGTAGTATTTCTCTGTCAATCTGCAGTTCAATAGTTTATCAACTTTCCAACAGGTCTCAAATCCTACTATATTCAACCCATAGCACTAGAATAAATTAGAAGTTGCAAATTACGAGTACAAGAGAAACGTAAATACTGACGAAAGATTATTAGGGACAAAGAGAGACACAAACCATGTGTCATGGAAAAGGAACAATTGCAACGGATAGGGATACAAAGTCTTATGGAATATTTGGTATACAGGAACTTTTATTCCTTCCATGTTTGATCTTGACAAAAAAATATTCCTATGTTTGAATAAGAAGTTTTCCTATTTAGGAAAAGCTTTCCCCTCCCAGAAGACTAAGTGGACAAAAAACCTTGCACACACCCTACAAATGAAAATTTTGTGCCAAATAGAAACAAAAGAAGGTATGCAGGGACAAAGTTACCCAAACATTGTGATAGTTTTGCTTTTCCAAGGGTCCTCATCCACAAATTACGAAATTTAGCGTCCTTTTTTATTATCCTCCCACCATCCCAACAAGTTTTAATATCAGCTATGTGATTGTACATCTATCATATATTTATATATTAAAATGCAAATGACCACAGTTTACAGTTGTAACTGATAATATTGAATGATAGTTTATATTTACCCTTTTCGCCTGTTCCATGGGATCTGGTGGAGGAACAGTTAGATAGTGAGGCAGATTAACTTGATACCAAGGGTGTGTGTGAATCTCAGGAATAGTAACTCGCTTCATCGGGTCAACAATAAGCATTCTTGAGATCAAATCCCTTGCACCTGGTGATACATGGCTAGGAAGAGTGTACATTCCACTCTACAAAAATTAATTTAAAAAAGTAAATGCTAATACCAAACAAACAAAATCAACATCATTAAAATACAATAGGTTAGCTTTAGACATTCAAGTAATATGCCTTACAGTTAATGAATGCACAACAATAAGAAAAGAGGTATCAACCCTATAGCAAATGAGACCCACAATATTGATATATAAATATATATATATATATATATAGAGAGAGAGAGAGAGAGAATTGATCTGGTCAGGCGTGCCTTAGATCAGTTCTCTCTCACTCTCTCTGTATGTATATATAATACCTTTATATATACACCTTTATTCATCATTTATTAAAAAAATTATATGAAATTATATAATACCTTTATTATCCTAAAAAGGTTTGGGATATTTTGATCATCAAATGGCAAGTTCCCACAGAGAAAAGCATATAAGATTACACCACAGCTCCACACATCAACCTCGGGGCCAGAATAAAAGTTTCCCGAAATGACCTGCAGAGAAGGATAATCAAAGAATATTTGCATTATATAATTCCAACCTAGATTTTAGCTGAATTTGTTTTCTATTGATGACTAAATTATCAACCAAAAAAGTCATTCTCAACGATTCAGTACCTCCGGAGCAGCATAATTGGGACTACCACAGCTGGTCTTCAAAAAATGACCATCGCGCATGACATTGCTCAATCCGAAATCGGCGATCTTAACATTACAATTGAAATCCAATAGAATATTTTCTGGCTTAAGGTCTCTATGGACTACCATATTCCTGTGGCAATACTCCACGCCAGAAATGATCTGCCTCTCAAAAAAAATTGTGACCCTATTAATACGTAAGAAAAGGTACATCATCAAGAAAATGAACACACCATTACCTGTTGGAAAAATTTCCTGGCTTCATCTTCCTGCAAACGGCCCTTCTGACCAATGTAATGAAACAATTCACCAGATTTCACATACTCCATCACGACATAGATATCCGATGTCGTCTCTGTCACTTCATAAAGCCGTATGATATGAGGATGCATGAACAACCTCAGTATTTTCATTTCCCTTCGGACTGCACATTGAAGAACATACCAATATTAACTAAGATTCATTGAAAACAGCTCCAAAGTCTAATAAACAAGAATTTTTAAAAAAAGTTAAAGCAAAAGTAGAAGTATTTTGAAGATGAGCAGATTACAAAGCAACAGGAAATTATTAAAAGAAATGCATGGTTCAGTTAAGTAATACATTGCCCTTGGGAGATGAGCTTCTTAGGGGAAAATCATATTTCAAAAGCAAACAGCTCCAACTTCAGAGAGTTGGATGGGAATAAAGAGGTTTAGTGAATAAGACAATTATTACACTCGAAATCTAGAATAGAGCCATAATTTGATTGTTTAAATAAATGGAGTAAAACCCACATGCACACATTAACAGCAACTTAAAACTCAAATTCACAAGCACACCACCCGCATGAACACATTACAATCATTACCTTTATCTTCCATTCCCATTTTTCTCATATTTTGGAGGTTAAGAATCTTGACAGCAACTTTATGCCCGGTCAATGCATGCTCAGCTAGTTTCACTTTACCAAAGGACCCAATGCCAAGAGTTCTGCCAAGCTTATAGCTCCTCATAAAAGAGTCCACATTACCACATATTTGGGAATTTGAATCATCCATTGTCCTATACGCAAAGATTAGGTAAGAAATAAAGTAGAAATAGACGGTGCCATATTTACAGCTACCTCCGTCCCAAAGTTTTCTTCCCTTTTAACTTGACACACTTATTTAGAAAGTCAAATTGTATGGTTATGAAAGCCACAAAAAGAGAGAAGCAATAGCAACCACAAATCTTTGCTCAAGTAGGAAGAAACTTATGAGCATCCCAAAAAAGAAGAAAATTATGGGATGGGAGTAATTTTTACATACAAAACACTTTAACTACAGAAAAACACTCAAATTGCATCTGAGCCCAGCTTTTAGACCCAACAACATAGTTGAATTTATACATTATTGTTAACATCAGCTGAGCCATAGCCAAAAAATGACATGCACTGCCATCGAATTGAAATAGCCTCAAATGAAATGGTACCGAGATGATATTCACAGAAAGAAAATGCTCAATCTTTTGGCAAATGGTTTTAATTTCTTCCAGAAATCTTCAATACAAGTACTATCTCAGCAGATACACGAGACGAAATAGAGAAGGAACAGAAAGATCCATAAAAAAAGAAACAAAATAAATGCAGATCAAGATCGCTAGAATAAAATATTAGAATATCGATGAAAACTATAAAAGGGATAAGATTGGGTACTTAGTACGGTGACATGTGACAGTTGCCATTCAATGGCATTGCTACTACCAACAGAAAGCAAGTGTCACCGACAAAGTCGAGCTTGCAAATCAAAGCACGTGGCGCCATCATAGGGTGAGTATCGGTTTGAAGACCACACAGCTCAAGAATAAATAAATTATACTATTGGAAACCCACTTATTTCAGTATAATTACTTTCCCGACACTAATAATAACAACATTTGCTATCATGACCTTTCTAGATAGAGTGACAAATTATTTAATTAATTAATACTAAGAAGCTCTAGCTGTCATTAATAAAACATTATCAAGTGTTCACCCTTCCACTAGCTCATAGCAGAATGAGCTTTTGTTCCTTAGGTACTGATTGCCTGACCAATGAAACACAGCAGCTAATTTGAACATTTTGTAGCATGAAATCTGATATCATGTATTTTTAAGTGATAATAATTAAATTCTACAATCTCTCATAAATAACCACCTTCCATCTCTACCCTTTTTCAAAAAACAACCATTTATAACCTCCCAAGGCGTTTAAGCTACAAAATTTCCAAATGCGACAAATTGCATCGATTTCCTCATTTATATACCCTCATAAAAAACTACATTCTCACTCTGCACATTTTCAGAAGAAAAAAATAAGTGGCGTATTTTTTGCAGTTAAGAAATAGACTCCGAAATCCAAATTGATCGATTACACGAAATTGAAATGATTATGTTTTTCTTCTAAACTAAATATACGAGTGTATACTTTCGAAAAATCAACACCTAGCCAAATGAGCAAAAATATAATTACTTTGAGATTTTTCTTTATTTCCCAAAAGATAAATATCATAGAACATCTTGGTGTAATAGTGTAAGAGCAATATATTTCACAATACAAAAAACATATCCCATAAAAGGAATTTCAAACAAGTGAAGCAACAACCCTAGCAACTAACAACAGATCTCAAATATTTCAAAAACAAAATAAAACATGCAACCCTTCTACATGAGTCAACCAGTCTAGGGAATGCACGTCCACATCCATGCATTAACATCCACATATGACATATGTATGAAAGAATCACGAAACTCACCAACACAAAATGGAAATAACGGAAGGTTGAGAGAATAAAATTTCTCAAACTGTAAACATATGGAGTTTATGGACTCAATAACAAGATATATGGAGTACCATACTTTTATCTTAAAATTAAGAAGGTGGTGCAGGGGAGAGAGCTCACGTCTGAAGATTGAAGCTAGCTTGGGTGGAAACTGTGAGAAGTCACGCACTAAAGGAGAAAACAGAGAGTATATATATAGGGGGAGGCCGGGGGGGAAACGTAACGCACGTCTGACCGGGAGAGTATAGTGTAGAACGCTTACCTTTGCAGGTGGGAAGCGGATTAATGGCAGAAGCTGCCAAGGCTCCTCGACGTCACAGAGGAGGAGAAGCATGGTTGAAACGGCTGATGACGAGAGGGTAGACCAGCGGGGTTTGAGGGCGCTACGGTTCAAAATCGAAAGCTTTTATGGCCGGTTTCGTACCCATTGGATTATGCGGAGTGTTGTTTATGACCGAAATAAACATTGGATTGACTCATTTTCTGCGGAGGTTGCTTCTATGGCCGGATGAAACGGCTGATGACGACGAGAGGGTACTCATTTTCTTCACCGTTCAGTTTTTTATGCCGGTTTCTTACGGTCTTATTGACTCGTTTTCTTCTTCTTTTTTGTAAGAGGAATGACTCATTTGTCATTTTTTTGGGAAGTTTTTGTTCGCCCATGACCCAAATAATAGCTTGCTCTTATTTAAAATTACAAAAAAAAAAAAATCAGAAGTGATTGGGTGAAAGTTTGGGTGAAACTGGATCTGATTCTTAAAACTGTTTCTGCTCCATCAGGGAGCAAAAGCAAAAGTTGTAGTGTTTGGGTGAAAGTGCAGAAATGATTCTGATGCTCTAATTTACTCATAGAATCAGTTTTTTTAGAAATTGGGGTGATCAGCTTCTGAAAACTGATTCTGTTTTTGATTTAAAAAAGAAACAAAAGCAGAATCAGTTCCAATATTGGAGACCTCTCATAGTTTTGTGATGGCGTGTACTCTAATGAAATGCGAGTAAAAATGGTGAACAAATCACATCTTCATGGACAGTCAAACAAAAAGAAAATCGCATCTTTATGGAATATTATATTGGTACTTCAACATGTTCACATCTAAATAGATAAAATTATATTGAAAGATACAAGATTTGGTATATCGGTTACCCCCAATTTAAATGCAATTAAGAATTTGGAAAATCATACTTCTCACTGTTGTTGTTCTCGTGCAAGTTTATTACATTAATCTAAATTCAAAATAATAAATACACTTCTTTATTAATTAGAATGAATCAAAGAGCTCACTCAAAAGATCACTTGAGCTCTTTCCATGGTTTCATAGAGCCTCAAGTGCATGTCTTGTCATATACACTAGCAAAAATAACTTATTTTACATAGCAAGAAATGATATGAGGTCCCCCTCTGTTTGTGTTCCATGATATATCAAGTGTTCTTTAGATTACTTTGTTGTAGTTATATGTTCTTGTTATGTCATTCAAGAATAAGTGATGTATTATTGAGACCCTTTCTTGAGATTCTTTTTTTTTTTAATTTTTAATACAATGCACACAGAGATATGTGTATAAACATAAAGAGTTTTAAAAAATTATTATGTTTGTCCCAAACAAGGAGTGTTATCAAATATACATATATGTGTGTGTATTTATCCGTATAATGGGGCTAATCGAAGTGCACATCGTTGAGGTTTAATTGTTTTTATCATGACACTTGATAATTGAACGATTATATTCATAGTGTTTCACCGGTGAAAGAAGAGACCGCGTGTTATAATCTAGCATAAAGAGAACTGACCCCAGATGTGTCGTCAGGTCTTACCTAGCGTGATATCGTTGTGACTGCCATGATTCAATCCAAACTATAAGAGCATTATTTCAAAATTACAAGCATGAATCAAACTAGCGACATAAATGGCAAGTAAAACAGTTTGTGGATTGCGTTAACTATATTTACTTTTAAGGTATGGCCACCATAATATGACTTAATATATTGCATGTTTACTATCGTTGAAGTCAATTCCCTCAATCTAAGAGTCTCATGCAAAATCATTGATAGGGGTTTGTTTAGTTATTATTAATTAAATAATCAAAACATGGAGGGAATGGTATATAATTAACTATGATTCTCCGTACTAGGCTTGACCTAGTTGGCTTGGCGGTCCCAATACATTTGGACCTTTGATCCTACAATCAAGTTGGTCTCACTCACTAATAACTTGTTGCAATGAAAAAGGGATCAAGTGCTAAAAATAATTATCAGCGAGCTTTCCATACGAAATTATGAGGCGGTATATATATCCCTATAGTGGATTGTGAAATCCATGTGTCTGTTCGTCATTGATTAGCTATCAAATCGGGAAATCTTTGGCTAAATCCATAAATTAAATTTTCTTATTGCCTTCCGGAAATCATTGAAGGGCTCTCCTCGGTATAGAAGTAGTAGCAATGCTAATTTTGGCAGCCCGTTTGGTCATGATCTCCTATGTACTAGATATTAAAATGACCCCATGTCGAGAATCTTGATTATAGTCCTGGCTTGAGTTGAAGGCCATCGGCTGCTTCCCATCCTTGTGCATCATTTGGATCGGTTGCTTGCTTGGTCACTTGATCTGACAAGTAATTTTGGCATTAGTCTTGCTTGGGTGTAACATGACAAATGAAGAAGCTAACCCAACATTGTTGGATACAACCCGAGTGTCTTCTTTTCGAGCACTCGTGTGGCCAAAGTGAATTTGGCCCTCAACGGAATTGTGAGGACAACACCCCAACAACTACGCCAATGGAGTCATAATTTGTTGTCTAAAGCACTCACGACCTCTTCTACTCTATTTATGATTTCAAATTTGACTATGGAAATTCAAACATAGGTTAGTTGGACAAAAAGTACAACAATAATATCCAAAATGGATGCCTTCACAATAATGGGCTGAGATGGAAATGGTATTTAGAATATGTAACACGCCGATCCCGTAGGGTTCAATATTGTTACTCTTGCATGCTATTTAAACATAGTACTTCTCTCAAAACATACAAGCCTTTTCTCGCACACTTTGTCTTCATTTGTACATGCTCACCCTGAAAAACTTCTCAGGGGGTCACCTATTCAAAGACTAATTTTATACAAGCATGTTTAATGGCAATGATCTTAATAGATGAGCTTCTGAAAAGAAACTGTACCTTATTACTATGAGCAATATTTTTCATCCTTTAGAGATCATGCATGAGTGAGCAAATTGGGAGGTTGGATATTATAAGTATCTGCAGCAAAGGCTGGGAGGAGTTTTTGAATCGATAAAGGCACCTACAAATAATTTTATCAACTTTATTATGTACATTATGAATTATGATTGCTGGTGTAAGGATATCTCTTCTCAATTATTGTTTTTCATTTAAAATGACAATCGGAAAAAATATAATTTCCATTTGGCATTCTATTTTCAATGGGGTTACCTATTCTAGTATGCAATTTTCTCTAATCTCGAACAATATCACGTCCTTGTTTTTTGTGAAAAGAATATATTTTGTAATGTGGGTTAAGTTATTAATTTTTCCATGCTTTTGGCTTGTAGAAAAAATCTGAACTTACATGATTAATATTGGGGTATAGTTTTCAATTCAAGGAGAAAGGTCAATGAATGTGTATGTGTCATCTTTGTAATATGATTTATGGAATTGAGGTAGTTTTTTATATGTTTTAATGTAAGTTTAACAACAAACATAAAATGAATGAATTAATCAGTGTAACATATATAAAGTTAATGGTTTTTCCGTGTCTGTTAGCTTTATGGTGATTGTTATACTTGGTAATTGGTATGTAGGCTCATTCAATGTCTTTTAACTTTACGATTGATTGTTATACTTTATAATCTATTGATATTTAGATATACTAATTAATAAGTAATCAATAAATCAAAACTATTAATTGGTACTTTGTGTTGAAAAAATAAGAGTATTTCAAATGAATAAATGTTACTTCTTTAATTATTTTTCACACACTAATTTAATAATAAATTTTTATACATCTTATATATGCATTATCTCTTCATATTAAAATTATACTAGTATGTATAAATAAATTTTGAACGTTACAACTCACAATAGTGCTGGGCTTGGAATTAATATTATTAAATAATATTTAATCCTAATGTTTTACTTGCTAGTGGGAGTTGAGCCATTCATTCGAGGAATTTTCAAACATTAAATCTTTTGAACGTTAGTCTTAAAGACTAACGATTCACCTGACAGCAAGTTTCGCATACAACGTAACGTTCACTCTGTTCGTTTTGCATACATGTGTATATATGGACTATGGTGTACCCGGCCGAATTACTCCAACTATCTCAAGAAAGTATTTGGCGTCGGATATGCCCGTAAATATGATCTCACAAGGCGTTGCCACCGGACTCATTGGGGCTATTTTATCTCTACATGTGCGCTGTGAAGTAGGCTGTGATACATATGCATGGGGAGCCGTATTGATCGGATAAATGCTCACAAAAGTCTTCTACGTATAAGGGTTAGTCTCTCCACTTTCCTACTTACAATAAGCATACTTTAACTCCATTTTTTTAAGAAAAATGTTATTCGTTTATTTAGTGATAAATTGACAACTATGAAAAACAACAACCCACTGAATCAAGTTCAAACTTGGTCTGTAGTGATGATAATTTTATTGCGATTGTTTCTCAAAGTTGTAAAACTAATAATGTGAATGAGTGGGTGGTAGACTCTGGGGCTACCAAACATATATCTATTAAAACAAAAATGTTTTACCTCCTACACCACCATAGGAGATGGTGAAGAGCTCGTGTACCTAGCGGATTCAAAACCGTTAAGGTGCATGGTGAAGGAAGAGTTCTTTTTAAGCTCACATCGGGGGAAACTTTATCATTAAATGATGTGTTTCATGTGCCCGAGATTCGGACTAATTTAACTTCCATTTCTCTCTTGGGAAAAGTTGGAGTTAAAGTTTCTTTTTATTGTGACAAATTTGTTATGACCAAAAATGATGTTTTTGTGGGAAATAACTATTGTAAGAATGGACTTTTTGTGCTTGGTAATTTTGAAATATTGCTTCTGCGTACTTATGGTTGGTTAATTATGGTGTTATATGATATAATAGATTTGATGTTTTACATGACATTCTAAGTTGATCTTTATTTTTGTTTGATATATGAAACTCCTAAGTATCCTAAGATTGATATTTAGTGATATGGAAGCACCTCTAGAAAACTGTGATATATATTTGATGAACTTATATAAATTTTATTAGAGCATCTACACTGTGATTAGAGGTGGTGAAAATTCTAATGTCACACTTATTGGTGATTTTTTGAGATAAACTAAATTTTATCTTATTTAAATTTAAAAGGTGAGTTTCTTTTTGATAAAATTATTGTGTACAAATAAAGGTTGAGATTTAAATTATCTTTCTATGAATTCTAGAAGGGCTATGCAGGTGTTTTTAAATGTTTAAAATTGTGGGGGTGCTTAGCTATATATTTTTATTACCTATCTCATTGAGTGAAAATGAGCTTTATAACTCTTGGCTACTTTTGCATGAACTGAAAAGTGGAGCATATATATAATTTTCTTAAATTGAAGA